TAAATTATCTTGAAAGCGTTTATTAATATGATCCTAACTTATACATATTATTTATTATTTTTATAATTTTAATATTTAAATATTAGAAATATTTTTAGGTTTTCTCCAACCTCTTATAAATATTCCTCACCTTAAGAGTATTCAAGTAACAAACTTGTTTTCTTAAAAAGGCTTCGTTATCAAATTTATAAATATTTTATGAAATAGAATACACAATAATAATAATAATAATAATAATAAATAAATAAATAAATAAAAAGTTAAATACATGGTTTAATACATATAATCACAATTTAATTAATCATGTAAGGAAATTAGATCACCATAATTTATTCTCAATTTTAATTTTTTTTAAATTAGAAATAAATAAAAAAAATTCTTATATTGAACCCAATTTTTAAATCTTCTAGCGTTTTGATTGAATTTAAAAAAAAAAAATTCTCACTTAAAAATTTTTAAAAAATTTACATGTTTGTAACTTTTTTAGAATTTTATCATTGGAATCATTTTCACTTATTTTCAAATTTTTTATAAAAATATTTACATGATGCAAATATAAGAGTATAGAAGAAAATTCAAATTATTTGTTATGTTAACTTATACATATATATATATATATTATTTACCTATCAACTAATTAAAAAACAAACCTAATTTAAGAATTCAAACATGTACAATAATAAATAAATAGGTATTTAAAAGAAAATAAGAAAACTACAATACTTGAAAGAAAATCAAAATAAAAAACAAAACTAAATAAAAGAATAACAAAGTACTTATCACCAAACGTCAACTCGGTGGAAGTGGTGGTGACGTAGGATTGGTCCACACTCCCCTAATCCTCTCGAGCAATGAAATCAATGCCATCTCTGGAGTAGGGCAAAACTTACATGAAATTATTTTGGTAAAATTTGTAAAGTGTTTTTTTTTAAAATATTTAATAAAAAATTTAAATTGATAAATTGATAAAATTTAATTTAAAAATTAATAATATATAAAAAATTAATAATAATATTTATAATTTAAATTTGACTAATATATATTTAATGATAAAAATTTTATTAATATTTTTATTAAAAATATTTATTTAAAAATGTATATATAAATTTATTAAAATTTTTTCAAAATTTATCTAATTAATTTATGTAACGAATCTTTTTAATTTATAAATTTTAATTTCTGATTTTAACTTTTATTTAATTATTTTTAATAAAAAATTTTATCTAAAGTCTTTTCCCTATGGAGTAATGTTTTCTCTAAACTTGGTGGGCTTGATTTCGGCTATTACTTATCTGTTCGTCCCTCTAGATCAACATTTTTTAAATCACACCCACTCTTAAAATCACACTAAAGAATTTATCCAAAAAAAAAAAAAAAACTACTAGAATTTTATTTTTGACGATTATTGATTCCTTTATGTTAATTTTATGGGTCTTTAAATAGACCGTATTCTATTCAATGTCAAATAAGATTTCAATTTCAAAAAGAATTCTCAAAACTTCTTTCACTTTGATTTAATCTGAAATTACTAATTAAACACAACTTCTTGATTTTTCATTAATCTAGAACATATATAAAACTTAAACCCTACTAACATTTAAATGCCCTATGAAACAACTATCCTAGATCAAATGGAATTTGATCTGGAAAAACCTTAGCCATTATTTAATCTTAACTAAACATTTTGCAAATTTCAGATTCCCTTTTTTTTTTTTTGAAAATCAATAAAATTAAATTAAAAAATCTTAAAATTAAATTTAATTGAAACTTCTAATGGACAAGAACAAAATCCTGAACGAATGTGATGTCTACAGTTATTCCCGTTGGAAGGGAGATTTTTCTGAAGGCTAGTTTTATAGGGAAATTGCATGGTGGCATTGTCTTGGATGTGAATGCGAGAAAGGAGGAGTTTCTTTGGAGGATGACTTTGAAGGGCACTTTCTCGATGAGTTGGTGAGAGGGCTGGGACTTGTGTAATTCAGCTGTTGAGTATAAGTAAACAAAAGGGTTTGAGACGGGGGATCAGATTTAATATATAGGATTGGATTTGGATGAGCCGAGGGCGACAAGATTGGAGGCAAAGGTATGGGTAGCGTTAGGGATGAGCATGCAAAAAGGCGTCCGAGGCAGCTTCAAAATGCACTGCACGCAAGATCGTGCTATGCGTTTGCTTCTTATTTAGAAATCTGAGTGGGCTTTGGATTTTACTTTTTGGGGTTTTGATGAGCTCACATGATCCTCATGGTTTTGGAATTTTGGGATCCGAGAGTCCAACAAAGTGGCAGTGTCGCACTTTTTGTCGAATTAACTAATTACCTGCCTGAGAAAATTTGTATTTTTATTGCTTTGGATATTAGTAAATTAAAGTTTATTTGAATTGGTGGTAAAATTGATTTTAATAATATTATTTATTGTAAAAATAAAATTAAAATTAATAATGAATATATGTATTTGGATGTAAATATAATGATGATAGTTGGTGAATTATTATAAGAAAGAAAATAATTATTAAAAATATTAATTAAACATGTATGTAATAATAAAATTTTTAATTATTTAATACTTATAAAATATAAAATTATTTTTATATTAAATAATAATTTTGTTAATAAATAAATAAAAACTAATAAAAATAATTCTACATCAAATAATATTTTTATTATATTCGATTAATAAAAATATTTTATTATTTTTAAATAAAAACTTAAAATAAGAAAAAAATTATTAATAAAAATGTTTTATAATCATACTATTATATAAGGGGGAAAAAAAAAAACAGTGACCGGAAGCCAGTAGAACAAAATTCAATGTTTAACTAAAAGACACTAAACGTGCCGCACCAAACAAGTCCAATGAATGTTCAGTACGCAGTTGGTTCAATTTTTCATAACAACTGAAGGTTCAGTTGATTTCAAACGGACCCTTAATCTTTTGGCAACATGCCCGTCAATTTTGGACTATGCCTCTTGTCATGTACTCAATTTATGTTTATCCTGGTACATCTCGAGTTTAATTTTTCTTGGTGGATTTAGCTCGTGAATTTTAAAATTTCGAGAAGAAAAAATAATTTTAAGAAAAATTTGTAAATTAGAGGAACGAGTTATTTCAAGATTTTGTTAACAATATAAAAATATAATTTCTTTTTTTTACATTTAGTTAAAAAATATATAAAATTATATAATAAAAATTTTTATTATATTATTTTTAATTGCACATGACAGATATGAGAAGATAAAAATAATTCATTGACATATAGTTATATTTAAATTATTTATTTATTTAATATAGTAAATTATTTATTTATTTATATAGAGTGTAAATGATGTAACTAATATTTTTGTCAAATTAATAAAAAATTAAAAAGTACTAAAATTATATATATATCAAATAATATTTGTGTAAATAAATATTTTCGAAATATTTGTATATGTTTTTATTAAGATGCACGAAGCCTAATTACTATCTTAGTAGTGATTATCCATATACACAGCAAACGCGTAAATCATTTACATGTAATAATATTAAGTAAAATTATTTTAAGTTTTATTTTAATTTTGCTATAAGTAGGAATAAATATTACATTTTTTATCTTAAAAGTGCTATTTTTGTTGAAACAATAAAATTTTAAAGCAACAAAGACTTTATTTTTTATCACAAAAATGTGGTTTTTATTGAAACTATATAATTTTGAAAAATATTTTTTTCATAATATATTTTTAACAAAGATTATATTTTTATCTTAAAAAGGTAGACTTTGTTGAAACTATAGAATTTCGAAACAACAAATATTATCCTTTTTTTATTTTAAAAACATGGTTTTTATTGAAATTATAGAATTTTGACAAATAATTTTTTTCATAATATATTTTTAACAAGAATTATGTTTTTTATCTTAAAAATGTAATTTTTGTTGAAAGTGTAAAAATTTTGAAAATTAAATTTTTTTTCTTAATATATTTTTATCAAGGACTATGTTCTTATCTTAAAAATATAACTTGTTGAAAGTATAAATTTCGAAAATTTAATTTTTTTATAATATAGCTTTAATAAAAAAAATTTTATTTTTAATCTTGAAAATATATATATTTTTTTAAACCATAGATTTTGAAATATATATTTTTTTTCTTCAAAATTTTATATTTTAATTATAGACTTTATCTTTGATCTTAAAAACGTAGCATGTTTTTAAGTGGTCTTTATTAAAATTATAAAATTTTGACAAATAAACTTTTTCATAATATATTTTTAACAAGAGTTACGTTTTTTTATCTTAAAAACTAGAATTTGTTGAAAATATAAAATTTTGAAAAATAAATTTTTTCATAATAAATTTTTAACAAAAACTAAGTTTTTTTTTATCTTAAAAACTAATTATTTGTTAAAAATATAAAAATTCTGAAAAATAAATTTTTTTAATGATATATTTTTATTAAGAACTATGTTTTTATCTTAAAAATGCAATGTTTGTTGAAAGTATAGAATTTCAAAAACTATTTTTTTTATAATATAATTTTAATAAAGATTACATTTTTAATATTAAAAATATTATTTTTGTTAAAACTATAGATTTTGAAAAAAATTATTTTTTTCAAAATTCTATATTTTCAACATAGATTTCGTCTATTTTCTTAAAAACATAGTATTTTTAAGTAATTTTTCTTGAAATTATAGAATTTTGACAAATAAATTTTTTAATAATATATTTTTAATAAAAGTTACATTTTTTATCTTAAAAATACAATATTTGTTGTTGAAAGTATAGAATTTTAAAAAATAAAATTTTTTCATAATATATTTTTCACAAAGACTAAGTTTTTATCTAAAAAATGCAAGTTTTGTTGGAAGTATAAAAATCTTGAAAAATAAAAGTTTTTTTCATAATATATTTTTAGCAAGGACTAAGTTTTTTATCTTAAAAACACAAGGTTTGTTGAAAGTTCAAAATTTCAAAAAATAAATTTTTTTATAAAATAATTTCAATAAAAATCATGTTAAAAACGTTGTTTTTGTTGAAATTATAAATTTTGAAAAAAATATTTTCAACATAAACTTCGTCTTTCATCTTAGAAATGTAGTATTTTTAATTTAAAGAATTTTGAAAATTAAATTTTAATTAATTGAAAAAAACAATTTAATTATAATCCACAAATAAAAATTCAAAAAGTCACCAAAAAGAGAGAGAGTACGGGCATTGAAGTTTGAAACGAAAAGTAACTTTTTGTTATTGCCGAGCTCCAATCCTGAATCAAAACAAGAGGTTTTAATAGATAGCATATTGCAGGGGCTGGCAAAAAGCCCCTTCTTTTCGCAGACCAAAGCTAGCAATTGGACAAGCCGTACAATAATCTACACCAATTTCTGAGGATGTTAAATGTCTCGTATGCTACTCCAGGCAGGCAAGAAGCAAGGATAATTTTTGCTAGTTGACAATTGCTTAAAATCTGATCTCATAATTTGACATGCACACCATCACATAATTGTCAGTATCATTAACAAAATTCTGACGGTTCTTTAAAGTGTTTAGGAAGTATATTGATTGGCCTACATTTAGCAGTAGCAGAAGCTGATGCTGCTGATGGAAAATGTCAATTGGCCACACCACATCTGATAGAATTTTCAAGGCCTAGAGAGTTTGCAGTACTCCCTGCCTGATATAAGATGATAACTACAATGCGTCCAGAAACTATAAGCATAAATGTACTATTTATTTATAGCCGATTTGCAAAACGTCTGCCAATGGAAAATAGATTGCACAATGTTTTCAATAAAATCTCATTTTTTATCCATATCCTAATATTTTGGTAAGTATCATAAAGCACTTCCAGAAGAGTGATCAAATTCAGTGCATGGATGGTCCTATTCGACACAACACTAAAATCAGGGCAACATCTCTTCAGGCACATCATTAAGAACTCGAAAAGAATTACAAGCAATTTAAGTAATCATTTTTTATAATGCTCAGTCAATTTTACATGCAACAGTTTTATAGCAGGCTGCAACAATCACTGTAGCTATAAAGAAGGCAAAAAACTTTGCATGGTATACGCATATTCAGCTATTACTTTCTCCATTTAATTGGGGAAAAGGATGGTACTATTAGCAAGAAATATTAATGGAACCTTACAACAATGCAGGAGATGTCATCCTTGCTCTCCTTGGAAATTGCTGCCTCTATCAAGAGCTTTGCTGCTGATTGAGCATCCTTTATGTTTTTGATAGTGTCCACTGCTTCTTGGTTTGACATGACCTGCCAAGACATTGGATATAGATGAGAAACATTGAATCTGAAATAAATTAAAACTTACAGAAGACAAATTAAAAATTGAAAACAAATAACTAGTTAACTCTGATTTCCCCTAATAGGGAAACTAGAATTGAAAAGCAAATAACCTTCCATATCCCATCACTGGCCAGAATAATGAACTCTACATTGTCATCAATCACCTCCACTGTCACATCGGGTTCTGAGCTAAGATGTACCTTTAAACTCTTATCACCAAATGCCCTTGCTACAGCCAGCTGCCCATCAACGCGTGGAACATCCCCTGTGACCACCAGATAATACATGTCAGTTCCAATTTCTAGGTACCAATTTCTAGGTACCAGATAAGCCAGTTTCCGTTCCTAAAGCATATAACATGTTTAATGACACCTGATAGTTGACTTATTCCTTGATTAAAATTTCCTATACTTGCAAAAAAAAAAAAAAGACATCTTAAGTGGAATAGATCATCCCAATACCAATTCCAATCAGTAGTAACGTTCTGTAGTTTTCTTAATTAGGTGTCAAACAAAATAAGCACTAGAAACTTCAAACCATCAAAATTGAGTTTCTTTGGCCTGTGAAAGTGGAACTGCTAATATACAGTTCTAGCTACCTGGAAGGTTTGATACAAATCCACCACGGCTCTCAATCTTTCTCTTCTCCGTGCTTGGCTCATGATCAACTGATAGTTGTTTGCCCATACCATTCTTGCATATAACTGCCCGAGAATCTCCTACGTTTGCCACTACCAGTTTCTGACCATTGATAAGTATTGCAGTCACAGCTGTTGACCCTCCTCTGCCTAGAAGCCTTGCTTTATCCAATATTTCAGCATCTGTTGAGTGATAAGCTCTTCTTATTGCATCCTCTGTTTCGGTCCAAAAGTCATGCTGCTTATGATTAAGAAACATCAAATATACATTAAATAGCTAGAAAATTGCAGAAAGAAGTAATAAATCAAAGGGGTGTGCTAGAATCATATGTTGAGTATCAAACTAATCTATACCTCTTTCAAGATATTATCAAACAAATGGTTCTGCAAGTACTTTGCAACATCATGGCCCAAATGCCCATCAAAGATTGCAAATAAACCTAACTCACTATCATCTTTTTTCTTGAATTCAGAAACTACATAATCTTCCATGTCATGATTTGATTTCCCCTTCATGCAATGAAAACCATGAGTAATATGCTTAGACATTTTGCTCTTCCCTTTCCCTGTATCAGTCCCACATGGAAATAGCCCAGCCTTCAGGTGAAAAGAACACACCCAGTTAAGCGACATAAAAGACTTTGGTAATTTACCTGAACACAATTCTTCAAAAGGAAAATTTGAGCAGGAATTCCACTCATAATGATTTGCCACAGATTTTATCTCATTTTAATCTAAAGCACGACAAAGATGAGTCTTCCAGTCAAGATTTAACTATGCTTGGAGACTTGACACTTATAGATTTGGTTTCTAGCAGGTCAAGCTTTCATGCAAGTGCCAAATTATTTCACTGTATCTTCACCTCTTAAGCGATTAATTTAGTTTTAAACAAAAAAATGATATTCTTCTATAATTTCCTTTGCTCTAGTGTCATAAATTCCATGGATAAAAAATTATCTCTTAGAAACTAAGCATGGTATACTAAAATCTAGATGGTAAGCCTTCTTCCACAGAAGAAATAATGCAAAAATAAGACAACATTGCAAATTCAAAAAATAAAAACAAAAGTTCAAGTACATTATTATGTATTTGTAAGTAAAATATGTCTGTCGACTCAGGAGCCAAGTAAAGTTATGAGCAAATTTATGCAACAATCTTATTGCTGTTACACATGATATTTTCCTTTTCAAATGAGAGGAAAACTCTGCACCTTGGTTCCTGACATAGAATAAGCAGTAAATCATTTGGAAGCAGCATGAACATTTTCATCAAGAGAAGCATAATAGAACAATAAGATTGCATGTTATTATTAAAGTAGATCCCACTTTCAAGAAATAAAAATACTAAAAATAAAAACACAACTGGGTCAGGTGGAAGACAGTGAAGCTAAAAAAAAGAGCTAGATGGAGGTAACAAAAAGATACTAGTCTTGTAGCTGAGCATGAGACAACGGATGGTTTAATGTTTTATCCAGTCCATGAGTCACTAGGTACTGAAAATGGCTGGACTTTGATCCTGGCTCTTTTGCTTGACCTAGGATTACACACACATGTCATATGCATGTGAGCATTTCACAATACCCAACAATAGATTTCTCTCAGGCATTGTTATCCTTCATAGCAGAAAGAGCAGCGACGCATAGCTTTTGACATAATATGACAATTGTATTCCATGCCAATGACGTTACTCATGGTTCCACCGCTTATTACCTTTACTTTCAATCCTATGATGCAATCTACAATTATAATGAAATTATGCATTTCCCATGTCGAGCAGAAACTTTCACACTAATACTAATCAAAACAGCAGTTTTTTTTTTTTTTTTGCACCAATCTCTTTTTCAATCCAAAAACAGCTCATACAGGTTTCTTTTCTAAGTCTGCTTATGAATTAATTGAAAAAAAAAAAAAAACCCAAACTTTAATGTAAATACAATCCTTTGAAATGAGCGTAACCCAATTCAACTAATACACGAACTTATACCCCAAAAAACTTAAAATTACAATCTTGAATTCATTAGTTAGTAAAGAACAACTGTAACACGAAAATGGCTGCTCTGCTTTTCAGCATTAACTCTAACACCAAATATAAAATGTACAGAAACAAATCAAACGAAATGAAACCCATTAAGAAAAAAAAAATTACATCAAAGATTAAGCAAAGCAAGAACTTCTAACTGACCTTCATTTTGTGAAGAATCTCTCTCCCATGCGTGGTGTAGTTCTTTTACCTTATCACACTAAGCACCAAAACAATTTTCTTTTTCTTTTTCTTTTTTTACAAAGAAATTTCCAAAAACTAGAAAAACAGAAAATCAGGAATTGATTAAGAAGAAGAAAAGATTCAGAGATGAAAAAAAAAGCAGTTATATAAAGAGGGAGGAGAGTTGACCACTGAACATGTGATGTACGTGCGAGTTTAGCATTTCGGCTCCCGCGTGTTTTGAAATGTACGCGTTCTTGCCGAGGACTTTTCTTGACATTCTCAAACTTTTCCCCCTTATTCTCAACTAGCTAGCTGCCGTTGTGATTATTTTTAAAAAACAAAAATTAAGGATAAATTTGGTAATATATTTTTATTTAAATATTAAATTTTATAATTATATTTTAATGTGATTGAGTTTTATCATTGATCTTTTATTTTTTATTAAATTTTATCACCAAACTTTGATTTTAAATGATTTTAAGATAAAATTAAAAAAAAAATCTCCTTCAAAGCATTCTTTTTCAATAATTAACAATAATAAATTAATTAATAAAAAATTAACATAAAAATTTTATTTTACAACATGCTAAAGTTTAAAAAGATTTTAGTTTATTCGTCGTGGCGTTAGCGAGTGATGATAACATTAGTCAATAATGATATTTTATATAATATTTGGTACACGATGATTATTTTAAAAATTAAAATAATTAAAATATGATAATTAGATTATAGTATTTGATAAATATTTTATGATTTTACGTGAATGTGATTATAAATTATCAAAAATGATTAAATGAGCATCTTTTATTGTGATTTAATTTTTATTAAAAAATAAAAATATTTTATAATCGAGATAAAGTGATATATAAAATTAATAATAATTAATATTATTTATTTAATATATGAATTAAAATTTTGATTCTTTTACAATTGTAATTATTTTATGTTATAAATTTTTATATTTTTAAATTAATATTTATTATAACAAGTTCATAAATAATTTATATTTTTTTACTTTTTCTAATGTTTTATATATAATATAATGTATTTGTTTTTTATTATGATTTAAAGAGATTAGTTTTATTTTTTAATTCAAAATTTTTAACATTATTTATATTATAAAAATTAGTTAACATAATAAATAAATAAATTTAATAATTTAATTATATATATTATAAAATGAATAAAATATTACTATATTTTATAAATTATCATCTTTAAATAATATTTAAATCCTTAAACTTGCGTAATTATTACAATAAAGATGATTATTTTTATTTTTTTAAAATAAAATAATATTTAATTTTTAATAATATCAAATACAACGATAATTAATTCATATAAATTAATGATTATTAATAGAATAAAATAATTTCAAATCACGAATAATAAAATCACTCTGATAATTATATTATTATAATAATCTTAAAAATAATATCAAACGTTACCTTAAGATCAAATTTGACATAAGAACACTAAATCTAGCATATTTCTTTTATAAAAATTTTTTTGGAAATTTTATAAATTTAATGAAAATATAATATTTTGTTTGTCTTATATTAAAAATTAAAAATAAAAATAAAAATAAAAAATGATGTGGCAAAGAAGAAAATGTAAAATATTTCATAAAATACTCTATTTGTGTTAAATTAAAAATAAAAAGTAATACGAAAATGAAAAAATTTAGAAAAATGACATGGATATGCCAAATTTAATATCGGATGGCGAAATTTGAACTTAGAATATGAGCACTGACCGGTGCAATTACCGGTCACCTACAATTTTATTTGTATTACATTTATAGAATCAATAAAATAATTAATTATTACATCGTAATTAAATTATAATTATTAAATAATTAATTAATAAATTAAAATATAATTAAATAATCAAATTCATATATAATAAAATTTGAATCTAAAATCTTAATATTTTAATAATTTTTTTAACCATTAAATCAAAATCTAATTAGCACTATTAAATAACAAAAGAAGGTAGAAAAATGAATTAAACCTTATTTTTTTATAAAATAAAAATATGCTTTTTAATATTTTTAATTATTAGAAGGAAATTTCTATTTTTTACTAATTTTATCCTAAAATCATAAAAATAAAATTTAGTGACAAAATTTAGTAGAGTCAAAATTCAATCTATCTTAAGTTAACAGCTATCTCACATGTAAAATTACATTTTAACCTTTGACCAATATCAATATTGCTAAGAACCTAAAAATCAAAGTTTCATCGGTCCTTCCATTAAGTATAATCCAGCCCATGAATCATTGAAGTACACTGTAGATGGCATCTTTCGAAACAAACTCACCTTCTCATCAAATCTCCCAAACTTCAAATACCCATATATCATTAAATTCCAAGCTGGATTTTCCCGGACTGCAAGTATCTATTTATATCATTCCCCACATTCCATCAGAAAGCTTCTTAGCCGTAACTACTTCCCACAATGCAAGCACCCTTCAATCATTGGATTCCAAGAAACGGTTGGCATTTTTTCCAACGGTTGAATTGATCTAAAGCGGCCGATAATTTTGCGCATACCCATCAACCATCACGGTGTGTAAATGCACCCGAGGGAAAGTGATGTAGCTCGAAACCCCCCAGGCTTCGTCCACTCTTTGGTTCGTTAGGTAACCAGAGAATAAAATTTTAATCAATATCAATAATTTCGTGAACCCAATATTATCAAATTAGTTTTTTTACCCCTTATCAGTTTGGAAGACCTAAAACAAAATTTGGAATTAATATTTATATCTTTAATAAAAATAAAAACAAATTCAGTGATAAAATTTTTTAAAAATTTCTAGATGAAAAATATTTTCAAATGTAACTTAAATGATGAAATTTTTCATTAAATAAAATGTTTAGGTGAATATTTCATCTTTTACCATACATTTCATTTTATTAAAAAAAATTCTTTTTAAAAATTTTAATTAATTATATCAACAAAAGTATAATTAAAAATATTTAAATAAAAATTTTTTATCTGCAATGAAGCGTAGATAATATTCCTAGTTTAATATTAAAAGAGTATAATGAAAATTTTACTTTTAATAAAAAAAAATGCGTAGTTGATAGCCGGCTCTTTTTTTTCCATTTATCGAAAATTTTTTCATATGGCATGAGAAAATTTGTGTTTGAAAGAGTCTAGTCAAAATTGGTCAGCTTGGGCCAAGGGGATTATCGGCTCTTTTCTTAGCCTTATCTTTTATCGATGAACTTTTTAAGTCTCGTTCACAATCAATCACAATGCTATAAGCATCTTTTCTTTTTAGTCTGCCTTTTTGTTTCTTTATTGGAAAAGTATCCATGTGCATTTTTCTTATCTTAAATTAATCGAGGAAATTGTTTCATTTTGGTGTGCCTGTTTTGTTAAATTTATTTTTTGTCATAAACACAAACTTTTCCCTTATTTGTATTAAGTATTTTTCATTTGCACATGCATTTAAAGATTACGGCAAAAATTACGAATTGTCTTTAACTTTAATGAAATATTTAATGTGTAAATTTTAAAAAATTTTAACGTAATATTTAAATTATAAATTTATTAATTAATATGATACTCATTCTTTAACATAATTAACCTTAATTGATAATACTAAATAAACAAACAACACTCTAGGTATCATATTCAAATTTATAATTTAAATATCACATTTGTTTGTGCTGAGCTTCAATTTTAAGGTATTCTTGGAAAGATAGAAAAGAATTACGGTTAAAGACAAAGACATGGAATGTTTCATACTTTTACACTCTGATGCATAAGTTAGAATAAATAAAGTCAGAAAGAGAGTAATAAGGAGAATTATGAGTAAAATGAACTTGCTTTAATGGTGCTTGGATATTTGTATTTATAGATAAGCAATAAATGACCATTAAGGGACAATAAGGACATCACTAAGCTAATATGACATTGAATATATTAGATCGATCTGACATGTCAAATAGGTACAAATATCAGAATTACCCTTAGTTATTTGCTAAAGGCTTCTAACATAGAATAAGACTATTATATCTTTTTTACCACTAAATGACCCTAACATTCTACCTTTTATCAAGCAGTCTGGGTATCAAACTACTGGGTGTACGATTAATACACACCGTGTAGGATAAATGGGTAAAAGGAGATGATGTAAAATTTGATTCTTCAAAGCTGACATCATAAAGGAGGTCAACATTGGGAAACAATTAGCATTGAGTCGTGGTTTGATCTTGTGGGGGTCTGATTCGCACGTATGTCTTAGGTTGAGTACATAGCCAACTTCAAGGTCACCGAGGTGTTAATTATTTGGGATGATTCGAGATTAATGTTGGAGTTCATCTGGTCGATGTGAAACTTATGTTTTATTTCAAGTAAATTGGATTCGAGTCTCTACTTTAAACTATGATGACGAATCAAGCGTTCGATCTATCACAGGGAGTCTTTCGTTCTGACTGGTCTAACCTGAGGTTTATTCGATTTAACCATACTTGTGGCATTAAATAAGGAAAGAGGTAGTTTAAGTAGGAAAAGTTAAAAAGGGAAGATGAAAAGATGTTTTCCCATCTTTGCTCTGACATGTGATGTAGTCTATGCTGTTCATCTGATCTGCGATACGACTATATAAAGGGCTATTGGGGTTTTCATTTTTCATCTTTTTGCTTTTTTTACTCTCCGTCTGATCTAAGTTTTTTTATTTTAAAAGCTTTTTAACCTTAAAGTTGTTCTTCTTATCACCTGTTTTTCTCCACTTTCTTCGGTACATATTCTCAATTATGTCTTCCAGTTTAAGTTTTGGAAAGACTAAAATTTTTAAGGTAAAACATAGGGGGGTCAACTCGGGCAAAATGATGATGACCTGATTTCACCAATTATTGAAGTCGTGATTGTCAGATGATGGCCTTTTAATTCAACCAGATGTCTAAAGAAGGGCAGTAGCAAAACAAGGACAATGCTAGGCAAAAGGAAAACGAGTC